GATTATTGATCCATTAAGATAACTCTAAGTATATATATTTGTTGTCCTAAAATAGTAGATTGCTTTAATCCATTCAATAATCAGAAGAGGCCCAGAGACGAAGAAAAGGATATAAAAGCTGGAAAGTAATCTTTGTCAAGAAAGGATAAAAATGCTGTGACGAGGAGAGAGTGCATTTACAATAAAAGATAGGATCAACGAATAAGATGAATACACAGCATAGACCATGTAAAAAAATAACGTGGGAGGGTCATGCTATGGCACGAATGGGGAAAAAATCTGCGGGAGACAACAAAGTTGGTTTCGCAGTGTGAGTTCTTCGGAGGCTCAATCGTCCCCTCCCACATTAACACGAGGATTTAGGCCACTAAAATGTAGAGGCAGCACACTCGTAACTCTTTTAGTTTTGCATTTGTCCACAAGCGATGCCAGTGTCATACACCTGCTCGATTGGCGCCCCATTCCATGAAAAAGTGACATAAGATTAAAAGAAGACTGACACAATATGACATCTACTGTGAAAGAATGGAAAAGACATTGTTTTTCTCTCTTTCTCCTGTGTCCTAGTGCCGCGATAGGTTGCGTGGCAGCCACCATGTTAACCGTGAAATAATTTGGTACAAGAGCATTATAAATATATGTATTTATAATACGCTATTCATACACAGTGGTAGTACAGTAGGTGTGACGTTTGTTTAGCGTGTCCGTCCATGAATATTTGTTTGAAAACAGCTGAAAACAATGCAAATATTTGCTCCACGTGTAAGTTAGCGTATGAAGTATCGTGGCATTGTAATGTGTAGATGATTACGGGGGGAAGGGTGTGGAGATGGTGGTAAGTTTACCTTAGTTAAAAATGGATTACGTACTGATCTAACGGTATGATATCTATTGACGAAGATCTAGGAAGTGTACCTATTTTCATAAATTATGTAGGTAGTAGGTACCAGTATTCCAAATAAGGGAGAGGAATTTTTCAAGTGTGGAAGAGCTAAGCTTCGGCACGAATGGTTCGGTTCGACTGGAGTGATACCACGGCCTCACAGAAAACCGCCGTGAAATAACCACAGCGTTGTGTTTCGTCGTATGAGTGAGGTAATCATATGCCTAATTCCTGCCCCTACCCTATCCCTTCCCAATCCTTAAATAAACTAAGTAACTTCTTTGGTGTTGCAGGTATCCTTGGGCGGTGCAGATTGCTTACCATCAGGTAATCCGTCTGCTCGTTTGCCGAGCTACTATCAGCGCCGCGAACCCGTCTCGTACGGGGTCGCTGCATTATGCTGAGCGTGGGCCATTTCGCGTGCTTGGACGCATATTTTTCTCCTACCGTCTACTTTTGTGATATTGTTTTTACCTTGCTCAATGTATTTTTATTTTATTATCTTGTTCGTTTTGTGTCTTTTATGCGTCCCAGACGCGAATAAATACTTTTTCTTTCTTTCTTTCTTTCTTAGCTATATCAAAAAAAGGGGAGTCACTCATACAGATTCTGATCGGTAGCGTTATATCACTGCTATCTTATGCCAAAAAACGACGCGAAGCTTAAATTGCAAATATGTTTTCGTCACTTTTCTCAAAGCGAATCGAGGTCGCCATCTTACCAAAAGGCTGTCAAAGTACTTAGTGAGTCATAAACATCTTGACACCAAACAATAATATTGTGAAACATCACGCAATATGGCCACGAGGAGTTCTCAAGCCGCCGTGATGAGGATGTGTTCACTTAGGCCCCAATTGTTGGCTAGCACTCCTTGCATCGCATCCTTCTAGCTAGTTGCGACAGAGCTGCTCAAACTTTTCTTATACACTTTATTATTTAAGGTGCTACTTGTGGCCAGTTAGCTGATATTATGGATCCATCGTTGGATGATTATCAGGTCAGTGCAAAAACTGATTTGGGGCTGCAATAGCAAACTTTGGAAAAAAGAAGCAGTTCTGAAATATGCTCACCATCTGTATATATATTGTCCTGCTTAATTCTTCTTTCTTCTTATCTCTCCTCATTTAGATTTGGAATCAAAAATGATATTCAGTATCAATAATCCTGGTTTTATACTTTAATTTGATTTATAACACCGCTGTATAAAAGTACTAGCTACTCCCTCGCGGTTTCGCTCGCTGCTCATCTCTTTTTGATTGTAGAGTGATGTTTTATAGCCTATAGCACTCGGGAACATTGTAGCTATAAATCAGTGAAAGAATTTGGAAATTCCGACCAGCGATTTAAAGATTACCCCCTACATACAAACTTACAAATTTTACCTCTTTATCATATTAGTATAGATAACATACAACAAAAAACTGTAGTTTGCTAAACCTCATTTTACATTAAGGTGCATGTTTTTTCTTTAAACAATAAAAAAACAGTTGTAATTTATTTAATCGATAAAGTACTTAAACACGTGCAACCTAACTCCTTATCTTTTCAGTAGAAAGCGACTGAATTATTTTGTTTTCAGTAAATAAACATTATTCAGCATTTACCCTGGATTACTTGAAATTGTACTCATGATAACTATTATCTGAATTCTTTACATAAATAGGCAGAAATGTGAGAGTACAAAGTGATAAGAAGTCACGTATTTTCTAAAAACTTATTCAAGCGGAATAATGAATTTACAAAATATTTTTAGAAAAAAAAATACAATCGAAGTAAGTAAAGAGTTCTTACATTAATTGTTAACTACTTATATACTAAATATTTATGTAGTGTGAGTGAACGTGTTAGCATTTGAATAATTAGTTTAACAATACAGTTAATTTATACTTGTAATAAGTTTTGGCGTTACACGTGTAATTGTTAAACCAGTTTTTTTGGTAAGCGTTCTCTATAACTAGTTAGTTAGTTTACTCACAATACGAAAAATCGTGTTGTATTTCTCGAGTCGAATTAAAAGACTACGTGTGTGATAGATAAATGTTGAAAAATATAAAAATAAAAGGCTCATTTTCTCCTATAAACATATAGCTACGCGGGTATTAACGCGGAAAATAATTACGAGTATTTAAATAACTTGGCAGGCTTGACGTTGTTCATTTTCTCCTATTTGGAAAGCAGCTATATGAGCGAAAAATAGCAAGCTAGAGTTCAGAAAAAACAATAACTAAAAACAATAACTAACTCTACTGAATATTCTGGAACTTCAAACTTTTATTACTGAGTATTGTGACAATAGTGGATAACGAGTCCCTTGAAGTGGGGGGAGGATGTCCTGAGGTGTCCCAACAAAGTCAAAAAGTCAAAAATCATTTTTTTCAATTAGACCACAGTAGGCACTTTTGAACGTCAAGCAAGCAAAAAAGGAAAAAAGTACATAACAAGAGCTGTCAGTCTGTCCGTCTGTCCTCTAGTGAAGCTATTTGCTCGTTCCAAAGTGTAGATTCCTATGGAGAAGAACGAGCAAGAAACTCCATGGTTACTCTTTTTCAATCAGTTTTACAATACATTTCTTTGTTACATCATTTATGCCCGGTTCCTATATTTAACGAATCGTCGTTGTATACGCATTACGACCAAATGACATTACGAATAGTTATCTTGACCGTCTACTGACGGTTAAAATATTTATAGGAACACCACAGACACCATAGATCTCCATACAATTCGCTTACCGACATCCGTTAATTGCAAACCGTCAGTAAGTTGCACGACGAGACGTTTGTTATAGGAACGGTTTTAGCTTACGAGTCGTATATAAAACTACCATTGGTAACTAAAACGGATCGTTTCTCAATTATAGGAACCGGGCATTAGTCGGTTCTGATATGTGAGAACAATGTAACACTAATGTTCAGGCAAAAAGTACGAAAAAGAAGTGAACCTCAAGGACAACATATTTAGACAGCCTGGAGATGACCAGTCCCAATAGGCGGCGCCCGTTCACGAACATGACACGTACACCAGCACCGCCCAACTCAACCATAATATAGGGAATTGGGCGATCCAGTACCCGTGCCACCGCCAATGAGACCTCTGAGTGAGCATGACAGCTCCCAGCCGACACAAGTACCTATATTCTACAAGTCTTACTTAATTATAATAGGTTACAGGGCAAACTCAGAGAGACTATTTTCTTAATACACACTGACTAATATTTAGGCAGAGAATTTACATAAATACTATCAGTCCGAACGCAGTGTTTACACAAATGGATTTAGTTAGAGATACACGTGCTACCAAATACTATTCAAATGCTAAGTACTGGCAAAAAAAATTTAAAAATTTAAACCTAAAAATTTTGTAACTAACTGCGGTCTTTAAGCTGCCTGTTTAAAGCGTGAAAATTATGCCAAACACTCTTTCTCATAAACACATTTTTTGTGTAGACTAAAAGCCAAGCTTCTTGTCCTTGTTCGCACTTTGTCCACAACGTCGCTACCTCGCGTACCATTCCGTAATATTTTATTACTTGCATATTTTATATATTTTGAACGAGAACTTTATTGATTCCTTGTATTATCTTTTTATCTAAGGTTTCGGCTTTGGGTTGAGCAATATGTACCTAGATCGAAACCAGGTCATGTAGGCACGAAAAGATCATACCTACCCATCAAATATACTCATTTAATTACAAGTACTTAGAAAATAACTTCCATAATATCACTACATTAAAAAGACATCTTGACTTTTTGTCCTTACAAAGGGTAGACAGAGGTCAACTTAGGAACACTAAGACCTACATTTACAAACTTTGAGACACGCTGAACAATAAATATGAAGGTATGTGACAACAATTTGTATTCACGTTGATGTGCGCCCGCGCAACCGGCTGATGTGTTAGGGCTGATACACATTTATATTCAAGTAGCTACTTCATCTACAAGAAAATATTGGTTTGTGTGTTTCTATCGCGTTCAACACTTATTAATAAGCAAAGCTAGTACAAAATGCAGTGCTTGGATAAATAACATCACATACAATTTTGGATGGATGATCAATAAACTTTGAAAACTGATTTTTATGTGACATGGCGGCAAACTAGCAGGTGAATTACCTGATGGTAAGTAACCGGCGTCACCCATGTATACCCACAACACCAGAGAAGTTACAAGTGCAATATTGGCAGCCTTTTGTGGATTATAGTTTTTTGGGGATTTAGGATTAGGGAAGGATGGGGAAGGGGAAGGATTGGGCCTCCGGTAACCTCACTCACATGGCGAAACACAAAGCTATGAATGTTTTACGCTGGAGTTTATCATTATCAAAAACAGAACCTTCGTGTAAGGCCTGATGTATGTGGATAGTGTAATGTTTGAAAAAGACTATCTGAGGTCAAGTAAGCCTCAACTCTTGCGATTTTGACCAAAGGAAGAACAAGTGAAGTTCAACTTCTCGTTGGCACCAGTAGGGGCAATTGTGCACGGTGGTCTACTGGCCAGTGATGGTGAGTTGTGGCAACAATTGCCTAATGGCCGGCAATGAGCAGAACGAGCGTGCGCCGCCCATGTAACACGCTTATTTATACATAATGTCGCGAACCTCGCCAACACTCTACTGAATCATTGCTTTGTAGCGATAATCCGCACACAGATCTAGTTTTTCAAACTTGTAAATACCGTAAGTTATTTATAAAATTATTTTAAAGTTGAATCTTCAAACAATTCTTTAGTAGCAGCTCGTGCAACTGTTGTCAAAATTAAATCTTGGGTTAAGCAGTTGCTTTATTAACTTTGACTTGGTCCTCGACTTTGGTTGGTGGTGTAAACCCCTATTTATTCATCATCATCATCATCAGCCAGAAGACGTTTACTGCTGGACAAAGGCCACCCCATGGGGGGGTTGCCATAATCCCCACGCTTGGCAGGCGGCTTGGGGATCGCAGTTGGGTCACCAATATATAAACCCATATTTATTAGTCAAGAAATGTGAGCACAGTAAGCTTTAATAAGATACGGCTTTGTCCTGAAGCTGGAGAGGGAAACGGAGTGGTTTTTAGTCAGTTAGAGTCTATCACCTCCGCGCCCCTCGCAGGGTGGAGAAGGTCATTTAAAGTACCCTCTTCCCGTTGTCCCTTCCAAAAGTATCATAAAGAACTCACTCGTCAACAGGCGAAAGACTTTCATTAAGACCAACTCAACTAAGACCTCATTCTTATTTACCACCAGTGTGTGTCCACATACAAAACACTTATAATTTTCGTATTACAAGATTATCTAAAATTAACGAAAGTTAACGGTCGCCATAAGTAATATAGTGAGCCACAATGCCACTAACTAAATGCAAGAGAATCTCTCTTAACGAAACAATTACCGCTCATAATGCAGCGAAGAGTCGTCAGTTACTGATTAACTGCGGGACGTATTGCAAAGACCATAAAGTAGTCCCACTTGTACCAACATTCAAGTAGTTTTTGCTTTTTTCAAGTGAGACACTAACTTATAAACAGCTCTAAGTTATTGGAGTGATTCAATGTGTATCTCCTAGACATTGGGGTCTTGTTACTTAAAGCTGTCATTTTAAAAATGAAAGTTTGAACATTAACATCTTCAAATGACTCCTCTTGCTCCACCCATGGCATGTCATAGTCTAACTGACTAAAAAACACCCTGTTTCTTCTTCTTCAGATCCGCACTTACGGAGGCCGAAGATCGTCGCGCAATCATCGACGTCTGGAGTGTCTCTTTCTCTTAAGGTAGCTGGGAAGGAAAGTTCCCTGACGCATGTCACGTCCTTTGCGAACATGACCGCTTTGCAGAAAGAGACGGCTTCCCAGTTCCTCTCGTTCCGCATCGTGGCTCGATCGACAAACTCCAACCTCGCCCAACAGGGCACACTGCCACCGCATGCCACACGTGTCTCACGGGTGGTCCTCATAGTGTCCTTACTTTCACTTACTTCCACAATTACCAAGACATTATAATAATATTTGTGACTATCACAAGAATATTTTATTAAACCTTCTGCTTCACCATTTTCTTCGGCAGAGGTTGCGGGTCGCGACCGACGCACGCGCCGCCCAATCTAATTACCGCTGCTATGCGCGCGCGCACTTGATTAACGCATGCAGTTACTGTCTAGGGAGGGGATGCACTCGACGCTTTCACGATAATGTCGACATTACTTATTGTTACTTCACTCATAATCTTCAGTGTTGAGATAAGGTTTTAGCTTTGTTGCCAGGTCATTTTATAACAAGTCTGATGTAACAACGTTATAATTGACCATCATATAATGGAAATTAAAATGATTTCGTATCTAGTGTCGCAAAATTGATTTGCCTGATACCACACACAAGACAATCCTTCCACTGAGTTCTTCCAAATTAGAAAATATAAATAATATTATCTGGTCTTTTTCTCTTTCAACATTGCTCTATACTATGATTTGCTCCTGAGTCGTTTGTGCGTTTACAAACATACACGTGACACCTAGACACGGAACAACAATTTGACGATCAAAACTGTAACTTAATATAAAATGGTAATAATTTCTTAACATTGTTTTACTATTTTTCATTGACGAGAATGAGAAATGGCCGAACCTACACGTATTATCGATACATTTTAGATACATCACTGACTCGATAAATCTTCACACATAACAACGATTATATTAACAAAGCGAATAATTTCCTCTCGTCAGCTCTTACTTATTATATACCATGTACAAACATACATATATGTATTTTATTATGTGCTTCCATAAATAAGCGCGGCCATCAACAGTTATCTTACAATTTGAATGATTACTTCGTTATTGTTGTAAATATAATATATACGCATTAAAAAAATCCATAGATCTAAGGTTTTATAGCATCTAGTATGTCGAAACAGACTTTGGTAACAGTGAATAGGTATGAAACCGCAATTATATTTTACAGTAGCTTTCGTTTTGTGCTCAATACATCTCCAGTGATTTGATCTTTTTTTCTTTCTTTCTATACATTTTCTGAGTATACACTGACTGAGGTTGTGAGTATAAGCGTAGTTGTGAATCGCGGCTCTGGTCTGTATCAGAAGAAGGAACGAGGTGCTTTTTAGTTTCATTTCTGTAAAAGGGAGCAGTAAGGACGGTGCCATTTGATGACTTTTCGTCCTCAAAACAAAACCCACTTCTGATGCATGGGGGATTTTCCTAGTTCTGTGTACTCTTTAGCTTTATTCTGGCATCATTGGTGACGCATAACAACAATTTGATAACGTCGGTTTCAAATCTAGGTGCCGCGTAACGTGTAGCAGGCTCGTTTCCCGCACGGAACAACCCTTTGTGTAATCCACAAATTGTTGTTCCTGCGTCTGGGTGTGATGTGTATGTGAAATTGTATGCTTGTAAACGCACCCATGTCATACGAGAAAATCAATGTCCGGGCCAAAGTTTTCATTTTAAATCTCCAATTCGTTTTCAGAAAGAGTGATGGTTAATGCTCATACGGCCTTTGTTTAGCAGTAGGCACGTTTTAGCAAATAATGTTATTAACACCTGAGTAAACTTCACAGCCATTATTAGGCTTTTTGTTTTGATAAGGAAGAATCAAACGTTGAGTGGGACGAGAGGGACTGCCAGACTCTTACAGACTTAATAACACCCTGTTCTTTCTCCTGCTCTGCGGTTGGCGGTAGTAACTTGTAGAGATTGACCCATTAAAATATCAGATGTGGATATGGTAATTTATATATCTTACTATTATTATAAATACGTAGTTATGGTGTTTGGATGTTTGTTCCTCAACCACGCCAAAACGGCCGGACGGATCTGGATGAAATTTGGCACAGGCATAGGATACTACTTTTTATCATCATACCACAAAAATGAATTGGAAATTGTATTGGTAAGTGCACAACTCATCATCAACGCCTAAACCAATCTTGCCAATTCTTTTTTTGCTGTATACATAATTATTGTCAGATGGTTCTTATCACAGGAAATATAAGAAAAAGGAGGGAAAGATTGGGTAAAGTGATACTTTTGTTATTAGCGAAATATGTAGTTGGACCCGTGCGAAGCAGGGGCAGGTCGCCAGTATGTAACAAAAACTCAAAATGCCTTTAGATGAAAACGACAAAAGACGAAAACTTCTTACAAGCCAATCTTTTAAGTGTGGGCTCCATTTTCTATTTCATAAATTCTACCCCAAACCCTTCAAAACAATCACCTCTCTATACCTTCAACCTGATCACGGAAGTACAGTCATCGTCATAATAACACGGTGCCCAGCCGTGGGACACAGGCCACACTGCGACAACATTTACTAACAAGCGATGCGTCTGCCCCCTCTAATTACAGCTTACCTATTGATCAGGGCACCAAACATTACCGTACTGGACACTTCCATAGAATTATTTTATTGTTTGCTTTGTGGAAAGCGAATAAAAGGTTTACATTTGATTAGTCATATACCGACAACTAGCATTTGTCCGCAACGCGATATTCAAATGGAATGGATAATTTGGGCATTGTTAAAAAGAGTTAGTTTTTTTTTACTCTGGCCTTAGCCGAGGTCTATTCTACATCTGATATGAGCTGTTACCAAATCCACAGTGAATATTTGTACAGAAGTGATTTGAAGGTGTATAGAAATACTTCATTTGCTCGACTGCTGCCAATGAAACACGTGATCACTGCCTCATAAGATACAGGATGGCCCTTGTTTAATAGATAGGGCTCAACATTTTTTTAACATCTGAAAATTAATTCTTTACTTAAAATTATGTATGTCAAAGTTGTATTTTTACTTAATAAACCGTTTTTATTATTATTTAACAACAAGAACTTATAGTCTCTGCGTCTGTGCTCATTAGCAATTTGTACTTTTATGCGATAAGTACCAAACTAGCGGACACTTCATCTCTAACAAGCAATCGGAAACATCAATACCAGAGGAGTGTACCTTGCTGCCCTTTAGGGGGTTACGGATTTGAAGATGCGAAGGGTTGGATTGAGCCTCCGGTAACCTCGTCTATACGGCGAAACACAACGCTACGATTGTTTTATAGCGGTTTTCTGAGGGTTCGTGGTATCACTCCGGCCGAACCAGCCATTCATGATCATGACTTTGTATTCCACACTTTAAAGGTCATGATGAAGCATGGCTCGCCCACAATTATTTTACTGCACCAAATATCAAACACACTAGCTACTGACAACATCTACTCATCCGGTTTCCCTACACCAACATAACGCTGCAATAACCAAGTAATTTACCTTTTAAAACGTATCTTAAGTAAAAAGGGTTTATCTAAAAGCCATCCAGATGTCAGATAAACAAGTTTTTTATGATTACGACAATCGCGCCGCGTCTCTATGGAAAATAAAAGTTAAAACTATATTGTATCACATAAAGCAGTCACTTACGTCACCACATTAGCACTCCGAGATCCGATATCAACATTAGTACAACAATGAACGTGAAAAAACCATCAAAAGATGTCCTCTACATCACGCAACTGACAAATTTCAGACAACAATGAATGATATAAGGGTTAAATGGATAAAGGCTGGCCACGATATTAATTCCAATGAAAAATCTAACATTCCTTTAAAGATATGCAATAAGGGACCTTATGTCTTGTTAATAGAGGCTAAGTTCAAGGTGTGACGTGAATAGTAAGGTGTGTGTGCTAGTTGTCGATACGTAAAGGGCTATAGAAAGGCGGTGCGTTTGATGGCGTGTCGGATGTCTCAATCGAAGGCTTTGCTGCGCCCGCGCCGCCCGCGCCGCGCCATCTTTACTCCCACGAACGGGGGTATTCTGTTCGAAATCTTTTGTTCACCGTTATGATGTCTTACTAGTGGAATTTTTGTGGTAATATTTAACGAAAATAAAGCACGTATTGAAAGTATTGATTACAACATTGGATTGAATTAAATGATTCGGCCCATAGCGAGCTACAAAGGATTTTGATGCATGCTTCAGTTTCAAGGATAATTGAAATATGATTAAATGGGTATATACACCTCATTCAATTTTCTTATTTCGCAGTAAAAATCATTAGGTTAAACCTAGATTGTAAATAGCCTAGATATCACTTAGATACATTTATCGATACGTATAAAAATAATAGGTACGATATTACCCTGATACGAGTATTTTGATTCAGAATAACACCTCTGTTACTAAACCGTGTTTGTATAACAACATAACACATGTTACGGGGACCGCTCTTTTAAATATCCTCCGAGAATAATTACGTACGATAAATCAGGGATGAGCGTTGACAGACTTAATGTGGTGACGACAATTATTGTAGCCTTTACCCTAACCCGTCCACCCCAAAGCATTTTAAACTCTATAATTTTCAAATGAAAGCTTAGTTTTCTATAGTATTTATGATGGTGTATAAGTTGTTACGTTATAGGCAACGGTTTTTAGTATTGTTCCTACAATACGGATGCTTTTTTCAAGTCCTAATATGTCGGTTCTTTGTGTGAAGAAATTATATGACTTATACTTTAAATAATGTTATATAAAGGCACTTTGTTGTCCCGCCGTTGTCACGGGGAAGAAAAAACGATAAAACGTTGACGTCATCATTAGTTAGCATATTCTGATTGACAAGTGTATACAAATAAGGTTTTAGAGGGATTTTAAAACTCACCGAGGTATTCCGAGCCTCCTTTTGATGTTTTTATTTTTACTATAGATAAAGAAAATTGTAAATGAAGTATGTTTTGATCGATGTGATTCTGACGATTAGCTTTCTACAATATAAAAAAGTTTTAGGCCATAGCGACATGTTAGATTCTCTATGACTAAAATTGACCCTGTACTTTCTCCTGCTCTTGGCCCTGGGCCACGATACCTACATTAATTTTGCTGTAAATTGAATATATAGTACTAAAGTTTAAAATGCCCAACATCAAGAACACATTTTAAAACTGATAGAAGTATGCTAGTACTTGTTACACAATATATATTTTGAC